TGTAACAGTGAGGGACAACCTTGGTTCTACACATGTGGCTTCCAATTTGTGTCTGAATGATCATACCACCAGTTGTAATTTATCATCTAAAACACATACAACCTTAATGCCATAAAATCCTGGATTATTTTCAGTTGGCAGTTTCACGAACGAGGACATGGGAAAATATTTAAGACCTCCTTACAATAACAAGAAAGAAAAAGAAAAAGAAAAAGGGAATATATGGTCATGTTTCCATCCTTTAACAGCTCTAACCAAGTTTCTACTATTAGTCTTTTCCATTATACCAAGTAGAAGGGGGGTCTGAGGAAGGACATATTGGAAAATATTCAAGACTTCCTTGCAATAAAAAGAAAGAACAGGAAGAGAGAGGGAATACAGGGCCACGTCCCATCCTTTAACAGCTCTGACCAAGTTTCTATTTTCAGCCTTTCCATTATACCAAGTAAAAGGTAGATCTGATGACGGCTTTTTCCTAAGGAGAGCCTTGAATCAATTCGTGGAGACTATCCCACTTAAGTTGGAGCTACATCCTCCTCTAGGCTAGAAAACAAGAGGAAAAGAAATGGGATCTGCAGATAGCCCATTCCTTATAGTAGAAGACATGATAAGATCAAATGCAGCCATCTCGCAATACCTAACCAAAAGTGTAAACATTATCTAACCAAGAAGTAACAGTGTTCGAGATGTTTCACTATTTAAAAGTTGCAAAATATAGAGAACAATAAAGTTTATGTAAATTCCATCCTTAGAGAAACAACTGCTAAGTAACAAATAATGAATGAATCCTTCCATCAATGGAAGACCTAATTGTTCTAACTTTTATTAGTTCTATAGATGATCAATTTCATGAGATACATATTTTTTTTTAATGAAATTTGCACTAGATACAACAAAGACAGGTATGACACCATTCATGGACACCTGGGAACATCATACTTCAAAAGGATCACATGATTACCACTCAAGAGCGAACAGTTTACTGCTTTTAGAAAGGTGACTTACAATTTAGCCCCAGGCACAGCAGCACCTGAATTTTCAAATTAGCTCAACCATGACAAGGTGAAAATACATAGACACTGCCAAATAACTCTAAGTACGGTCACAATAAAATTGCCAGTATATCGCACCTAAATTTGTTGGGCAAGAGAAAATTATTATTATTACTATTATCACTATTGCAACTTTAGCTGAAATAGCATATTTGACAATTCACTGGAAATGCAATTAAGTTGTAAAGGGTATAATTCTGAAGTTGTTGAGAGCATAAAAGAATACTGACAAGAAGGAATGCAAGCTTTTAACCGGTACTGTTCAGGTCTGATAACAATTAAAAGTGGAGAGCTTCATATGCGATATGGAGAAGTTGTGAAATGCAACAAAAGTGGTTGGTAAGGCAAGCTTCAGAGTAGTCCAAAAGCTCAAGGTAGTTAAAACCTTTAACCACTTGTTGCTGTAACAGGTATATTGGATAATCATCTTACTTAAACAAATAGAGAGCATCAAAAAATCCAGTTAATAACACCCATATAACTATCATTTCACACAAACAACATAGGATCACAACAAACAGACCTTACACTTCACTAAATATAAAAAATCATTTAAACTTAGAAAAAGAAAAAGTAACCAGAGAAAATGGCCCCAACACAATTACCCCCTTCCAACCCAACATAGAGACACCAACAAGCATATAGTCCAGTTCACACACACAGCATATTGTGGCATTCAAACAAATAACAGGCTTCCCTGCAATGAGAAACAAGCAAAAATAAGCACCTGAATCGAATGCGTTTCAGATCATTTCCTCCCTCAGGCAAGGAAACAAAAGTGATGAGTACACCAGGCTCCACTTGCGCCACCCACTCCTTAGGTTCATCTTCCTCCGTAAACATCACAGATTCTGTTCGCCCACTGGCCGATGATGGCATGCGTTCACCACTTGAAAGCCCTTTCAGTCGTGCTTCCATCTCCTTTCCCCACATCCTTGGTGTTGAGTTGAAGCTCCCTGTTCTATGGTATGCATGATGGAAACTTCCAGACTCTGAGGTAGCCTCAGAGTCAGCATAGTGTCTGTTCTGATTACGGTTTGATGAGCCAGCGCATGGCTTGCAGTTCTTATATGCCCCTGATGCCTTCAAGGCCATATCCTTGATCTGAAAAGAAAAAAGAATTACCCGTCAATAAACTTATTCTGCCGATAAAATAGACACTAAAAAAAAAAATGAACTTCCGGGGCTCTTTTCCGGATTTGATTTTGATTCCTGAAGTAGAATAAGTAAGCCTATATATTTTTCTTCCTTACAACAATGGAAAACGGAACAGAGTTTGGCCATAAATTGGCTACCCAGTACTCGAAAATTAAAAGGAAAATAAACCGTACAGTTCTTTTTCTCTCTTCTTTTTTCCAGAAACCAGAAGGAAACGGGACAAACTCTAAACCGAACAGTTGAACAAAATATATCATAGTCAACCAATTCTTTTCTTTGTCTTTTTCTTACAGCGAAACCCACAAGATTCAAAGTTGGAAGAAGCCTCAAAATTTCCGACATTTTCGTACTAACCAACGATTAAAACTTACAACATAGACAGTCACTCTACCTGAGCAGTAAGGGCCTTGATAGCCTGCTTGGTTCTGGGTGTACCAACAACTGTGGCGTCTTCGTCTTCTGGCTCCATCTGGTGATTAGATCCATTCTTGTTGTCTAGCTGCTTTGAACATGCTATACACGTCAACATTTCTTCGCTTCTCTCTCTTTCAAAATCGACCGTACCTTCCTCTCTTCCTCAAAAAAAGAGCGATAGAACAAGAACAAAAAAAGAAACTAAACAACAAGAGGGAAAAAACACATCTCAGATTCTCTCTGACAAGTCAGTCAAAATCAAGAGAAAGCTATATATACATATAGGCGATTTTAGATGTGTATGCATCGTGTGCGTGTATTATACGGAGTTCAGCACAGTGCTTTTATGTATAGGAGCAGAAATTTGGAGTTCTTGGGTTTGTTCTGCGATAATGAGAATTACTCTCTGTGTATTTTCAGATGAAACGGGTTCAAACCCAGATCCCAGGCTAGATGGGAACATGCAACATATTTATATATATTGATATATACACAAATTACAATAACTTGTATATAAATGGGAAGTGACCGTTAATGGGGGTAATTAGGGCATGGTATTTGGATCAAATATTAGAAATAAATCCTCCCTGATTCACTCTCTCTCTCCGGGTTTGTAATGCCAGTTAAAAATGAGTAATAAATACTTTTCTTCACCTTTCCTTCTCTCTCTCTGGAGCCACGCTCCCTTTGTTCCATTTCTTAAATCAGGATTTCCAGCTTTAAAAATCATTTCTTTTTCCCTTCATTATATCCGCAAAGATACCTGCAAAAGCTCGAAGTGGCTGTCCATGTCGACTCCGTTACTTGCAGTTCTTCTTAATTTTATGAAAAAAAACATATATGTCATTTAAACTCTATGTTAAAGTATCAAATTTTCGCTTTATATTATATACAAAATATTTAAAATTTATCATATATTATATATTTTTTAGAATTCTTCTTGTATTTTATTTATAAAAAAAAAAAAGTTTTCATGTTTGTTAATTTTTTACCACATCTAAAAAATATCATTTGAATTCAATGATACTAAATAAAAATTTAGTAAAATATTAAAAATTTATTTGATACTAAATAAAAATCTTCAAACTTTGTGTACACTATATTTTTATCTAAAATTCATCTTGTATCTTAAGAAATTAAAAAAAATTATCTTCATTAATTTGTATTGTACTATTTGTGTTTTATGACATAATGCGTAATATGTCAAACCATGTGTGCAAAAAAAATAAATTTTAAGTTATAATTATTAGCTAAAATACTAACAAAAATTATATTGTATAAAAATATTTAAAATTCTATAAATAATTTTATTATTCAAAAAATCACGTAGTTATTGTTGACTTAACATTATGATAATTTGTTAAGTGTAAGATTTAACTTTTTTTTTTTCTCTATTTCCTTGCTATTTAGCCTTTATAGACAAAATAACTTCAAATTTTAATTTTACTAAAAGAATGCATGAAATGTATATAATAAATATGGCTAATCATATATTGATATTATGTAGTACGAAGTATTTCGTATTTAGTACCGTATATATAATTTATTTTCAAAAGTTTACGTCATGATAAAAATTTTACATTAAAATAATTAATATAATAAAATTAATTTGAATATTCAAACGGTTTAAATTTTTTTAAAAATTAACACGTAAAAGAAATCATACTAAAATTTTATATTTTTTTATACAAAAATAATATATTTAATTAATAACATAATAATATAATTATTAAAATTATTGTATTATTTTTAAAAGTTGTGAATTTAATAAGTAATTTATCAATTTACGAATATATTATGAATTATCAGTGATTGACTTATAATGATTAATTCAATATAATTAAATATTTTATTCATAAAGTTGCGATGATTAAATTTTAATAAATTTATTATATTTATAAATAAAATAATATATAATGTAACGATTAGATTATTTTAGTTGAAATAATTATAATTAATTAAAAAAATTAAATTTAGTTTTTTTTTTCTTAAATAACTGTATATCCGAATTCAAAAAGTGGAGAGAAAAGGAAAGAAAATGGTGGGTTTCATTTATTTAGGTTTAAAAAAATAATATTTAATGAAGCAAATGGAGGGAGAGGTTCTTGAGCATTTTTTTATATTAAATTTCTTATATTTGAGTTGATAATAACTTTTTATTGTATAAATAAATAAATAAAAGTATCATGCACTGTATCTTTAGAGCAAATATTTATGTTCCTTTACGAGTTAAAATAAAAATATATATATATTTTTTTATTTACGCAATTATATATCACATGTTAATATAACCTTTGTTATTCAATAACTGATAAGATGGAAACGCTGTCGTTTTAAATGTTGATATAATAACTCATCATCCTCCAGATTGCTGCTCGTGTCGCTGACCGTTCGCAATCAGTGAAAACAGCATCTCTGCGCCAATAGATTGGGCCCATCATAAATAACAATAAAAATATAAAATATCACAGCGTAAACACCAATAGAAATTCCTCACGTATTGCTTTAAAAAAACTAAATGTCCGGTGGGACCCACTCCACTCCACTCCACCCCAACATCATCAATTGCCGTTGTTCGCCTCCCCATCCCTTCGCAGCCATACGTGAAGCCTTTCGCTAATCTCAGCTCAAAATACTTTCAGTTTGTTTCGATGAAAAATGGAAATCAAAATTGAAAGATTTTCCGGGAAAGTTTTTAATCTTTAGGCTCCCACCTCTTGTCTTTTCAGATACTGGAAAAATGGGGAATTATTCCTCAACTTTCTGATAAGATAAAGAAAGCTTCATCTCGTCTGATCAGATACCATACTAGCTGTCCACCCTTTTCTCTCTCTCTCTCTTTTGTTTTTTTGGAGAATTGATTCTCTTGAACTTTGTTAGCTAACTTTTAGCTTTTTGTACTTTTCTAAGGTTTACAAAGCAAAACGAGTAATCTGTTATTGTTTGATTATCCCTAGTTAGCTCAATAAAAGGAATTTATATTTCAAAACTTTCAACGAGAAATCTAGCTTTGATTTTTTTTTTTTTTGGGTTTTTATAGTTGTTTTGTTCTTTTTTCTTTATGAAAAAAAATATTACCTGCAGAAATGCGTTATTTTCTCGTCAAAATGAAACGATTCCCTTGAACGTAACAGACGATAGAAACGAAGAAAAAAATGTCTTTAGTTCGTAGACGGAAAGCAACCGATAAAGCTTCGAGCTCAGATTCACAAGTCCCCGATAAAGACTCTCCAAAAGAACAGGAATATGATACTGCCGATGTCGATGTACAGAAAAAAGCTCAAATTTCAAAATCCAAAGCCAAGTGGTCGTGCGTGGATTCCTGTTGCTGGTTCATCGGCTGCATATGCGTTACTTGGTGGCTTCTGTTGTTTCTCTACAATGCAATGCCAGCTTCTTTACCTCAGTACGTGACTGAGGCTATAACGGGTCCCTTGCCGGACCCGCCTGGCGTGAAGCTGAGAAAAGAGGGGCTAAGAGCGAAGCATCCTGTGGTGTTCGTTCCAGGGATTGTCACCGGGGGGCTCGAACTGTGGGAAGGCCATCAATGCGCTGATGGGCTCTTTAGAAAGCGGTTATGGGGTGGTACGTTTGGTGAGGTCTATAAAAGGTATCCTGTCGCCTGTAATTCTATAATGATCTCATTGTGTTATTCGGTTGTTGGTTGTGGGTTTTGATTGTTTTGCTGAATAGTCACTCTCCCAGTTGATCAGATCATCAGATTGTCGGGAACACTTTCTGATGTACGGCAAATGCGTCGTTGACTGTGAAGAGGGAAAAATGAATAGAAAGTGTTAAATGGTACTTTGTGTTCTTGATGGATTATAATATGAAAAATTGTATGGAGGGTATTGGTTATTGATATGATACCAAAAAAGAATTGACTGAGGGATAGGAGTTGCACATTGAAGAAACAGAGGACAGTAATTTTATATGTGACACAAGCAAGTATTCGCACCCCTGCTATAGCAAGTAGTTTTCATGTTTCTAACTTATCAAACTAACAATCATCTCATCATTACATACCAGTTGAAGTTAATTAGAAGACAACATTTGTTATTAGGAAAATCAGAGTCTAGTTCAAAGTCAGTGCACGTCATGGTTGTATTTGATTACTGAGCTAGATCTTCTTGAAGGATGACCTTGGCTTTCTAGAATATTGACACTTTTAAAATAGATTTAGGTCGCTTGGTGAAGCTCCAATAATTGAACCAAAAAGCTACTACTCCAAAACTTTAAAATTGTAGACACAGAGTGGATTCAAGTAGATGATTTATTACATTAACAACTTAACTAGACATTCCATTTGGGAATTTTGTAAGCTTACTTGCATTTCTTATACTGAAGGACCATTATTGATGACTTACCAAGAGAAAGGAGAACTATGAACGGAAAAGAGAGACTAAATGAATCCCATCAAAAAATTTTGCTTGGTGAAGCTCCAAGTTTTGCTTTGGTTCTATTATCATTTTTTTATTATTGTTTTGGATTAAAATTCCACATTCCTTTGTTGCTTTTTGTGTTTTAAGGCGTTGAACGTCTCTTGTCGGGCTTTCCTAATGTTTCAGGCCTCTGTGCTGGGTAGAGCACATGTCCCTTGACAACGAAACTGGATTAGATCCTCCAGGTGTAAGGGTGAGGCCTGTCTCTGGACTTGTCGCTGCTGATTACTTTGCTCCCGGCTATTTTGTGTGGGCGGTTCTGATTGCCAATTTGGCACGTATTGGATATGAGGAGAAGACTATGTATATGGCTGCTTATGACTGGAGACTCTCATTCCAGAATACAGAGGTACTTTTTATACATTCATTGATTATGCATGAATTTTTTTGATACTTTGTTCAAATTTTTGTGTATCATTGTCCTTTGGTGATATCTCTGTCAATAAATTAATAGGTACGAGACCAAACACTAAGCCGCATCAAGAGTACCGTAGAATTGATGGTGGCTACAAATGGTGGCAAAAAAGCAGTGATAATTCCACACTCCATGGGTGTTCTGTATTTTTTACATTTTATGAAGTGGGTTGAGGCACCAGCTCCAATGGGTGGAGGGGGTGGACCAAACTGGTGCTCCAAGCATATAAAGGCAGTAATGAACATTGGTGGACCATTTTTAGGTGTTCCAAAAGCTATAGCTGGGCTTTTCTCTGCTGAAGCTAAGGATATTGCAGTTGCCAGGTATTCAACTGGTCTCATCCTTTCTAGTGTAGGGTACGAGAATATGGATTTGTGATGGCTTGTTTTGGAGGTAAACATGTATTTCTGAACGTAAAAAGAAAATAGTAACTTTACTAGGGAGTAGAAAAGCAGAATATTAGTTAACTTATATTTGAATATTATCACCATAAATCATCACTAATATAAATATATACCTCAATCTCTTTTTATTGATGAATGTTCTAAAGTGTTCTTGGTGGGCACTAGCGCCTCTGTGTACAAATTTGCTACTGATTTTATGTACCTAAACTGCAAACATTTTTTAAAATTTGCTTTCTGCCTCCTATATTGTTTCCCTTCTTGATAGGTGGAATTATCAATAAAATATTCACTAAACATGCAGGGCAATAGCACCAGGTTTCTTAGATAATGATATATTTCGCGTTCAGACATTGCAGCATGTAATGAGGATGAGCCGAACATGGGATTCAACCATGTCCATGATACCAAGGGGTGGGGACACTATATGGGGTGGTCTTGACTGGTCACCAGAGGAGGGCTGTGTTTCTGGAAGAAAAAAGCATAGAAACAATGATCCTCAGACTGCAAATGGAGGAGAAAGTGAAAGCTTAGTTTCTCAAGTGAAGAAAGTAAATTATGGAAGGATTGTATCATTTGGGAAAGATGTGGCCGAGGCACCTTCGTCTGAGATTCAGAGGATTGACTTTAGGGTAAGACTTTACTTTTCACTACAACAAACCGACTAATGGTCGGTAAATTTGGTAAAAGATTTCCCTCTACCTTTTTGCTCAATGATGATAAGGAACATACTGAAGATTCCGAAGAAATCCATGCTCTACTCCCAGAGGTCAAGCTGTGCTCTACTCTCTAAGCCTAAGAAGCCAAGGGTAAAAGGGATGGATATGAAATTTAATTAATCATGTTTTGGTGGTTCAATAACTTGATGAATCTTGTTGTCAAGGGTTCTCATCTGTTTGAGTTGAATAATTGTTTGGCTTATGTGTGGTAAATTGAGTTATGCGAAAGGAGGGGTCTCAATTGAGGAATTGCTTAGTTTGTTCAGCTTTTATTTCAAACAAGATAAAAATGGGCAGCATACTGGATTCTTGTTTGAAAAGTCATATGACAAAACTTAAAGCGTGAAGTAGAAAGAGGCTACACATTGATGCTGTACCTACCATTTTGTCCCTTGTTTATTTTGCAAACTTTGGAGGAGTATACTTCTGAAGACCTGTCTATTTGAGCGCTTGTTAATTACTGAGTTTCTTTTGTATTAGAAAAACCGGATATTATGTGCATTATCTGTTCAATTTTCAGAGACATAGTCTTAAATTAGTTGAAAGAAATTCAAAATATGATTTTCGTCTGCTAAATTCTGGGATTTTTTCAGTGATGTACCTATTTCCCACTGGTTGTTGCTTTATGTACTAGAATATTTTATACAGCGAAGTTTCTTCCTTCAACAGCTTGATGAAAACCATTCACTTTTTTGGTGCTTATGCTGAGTTTTGTCATTAGTCTTATATTTCAAATTTTGGATAACAAAATGAATGTAGCATCTATAGGCTCAGCACGTCTTATAGATTTGTTATCAGTTCTTCTAGGATTCAAAACATATTGAATGCTTATTAGTATTTGTTCAAATCCTTTCATTGCAACAGTATTCCTTTCTCTGTCATCTGCAGGATGCTGTTAAGGGTAATAATCTTGCAAACACTAGCTGTCGTGACGTTTGGACAGAATACCATGACATTGGAGTGGGAGGAATCAAAGCTGTTGCAGAATATAAAGTTTACACTTCTGGATCACTTCTAGATCTGCTTTATTTTGTTGCTCCAAAAATGATGGCACGTGGTGGTGCTCATTTCTCTTATGGGATTGCTGATGATTTAGAGGATCCAAAGTACAAGCATTATAAATATTGGTCAAATCCTTTGGAAACAAAGTAAGAATCTTTTCTAAATTTTCTGATTAGTCTCATCTCTTCCAGTTTGATTTTATATTTTCATCTATTTTTGGATATGTTGGTAGAAGTACTTTTTTGTTTTTGTTGAAGAAAGCCCTTTGAGTAGGCATGCTTGTTAACTGGATAAGTAGGCACACATCTAAGCAAATATGATTTAAAACTCTCATATAATCTTAATTGATGGTTGTTTCATTAGATACATTGTGCCAAATGATACATCAGTAAAACCACCGGAACTTATTAGTTGCAAGATGAGGAAACTTGATACTCACCGAAGAAAATTAGCTTCTCTTCTTATGATGTTCTTCAAAGAAATCTGTGTTCATTTGGTATTAGTCCATTGATTCTGCAATTCTAATGAAGGATGTCTTATCCTGTATTATTAATAGTTTTGATGTGTGATATTTTCTAGTCTAAGTTGTGCACTCCTGATAAGGATATTCTATTTTGTTGGTTGGCTGGAAATGTCTTAATGATCACCTTTATGGGATTGATACTGATTAAGATATCAATTACTATTGCAGTTAACATGTAATTGATAAATACTTTGTAGTTTACTCAGTGCGTATGTTCTTACTTGTCACTTTTGGTTTTCCAGGTTACCAAATGCCCCAGAGATGGAAATATTTTCTCTCTATGGAGTTGGCATACCAACTGAGAGAGCTTATGTTTACAAGTTGTCTCCGTCTGCAGAGTGCTATATTCCTTTTCAGATAGATACTTCTGCTAATGCTGAAGATAGCTGTCTGCAGGATGGAGTCTATAACGTTGATGGGGATGAAACTGTACCTGTTCTAAGTGCAGGTTTCATGTGTGCTAGAGGTTGGCGTGGGAAGACCAGATTCAATCCTTCAGGAATTCGGACTTATGTTAGGGAATATGATCATTCTCCTCCGGCTAATCTACTTGAAGGTCGTGGCACTTTGAGTGGTGCTCATGTTGATATAATGGGAAACTTTGCATTGATTGAAGATATCATGAGAGTGGCAGCTGGGGCTACAGGAGAAGACTTGGGAGGAGATCAAGTTTACTCTAAAATCTTCCAATGGGCAGAGAAGATCAAATTAAAGCTTTAGTTTCTGACTGGTATCCTCTTCCCTTTATGCCACTCTCACTCAAAAATCCAGTGTGCCATTATGCACAGAACCTTTTTCATCCCCTTGAAACTACTAGTCAAGTCATTCTCAAATGGCTAGTTGTAACATTATCCCTCCAAAAGCTCTATTTCGTGGCCTTGAAACTATTAGTCAAGTCATTCTCACATGGGTACTTGGAACTTTATCCTCCCGTATGTTGATTGCAAGTTCGACAGTTTTGGAGAAATAGGAGCATGATATTTTATTTTATTGTACTAAAGTGTTAAGATACTTCCATTTTCCTTGAATATTTATTTCTCCACAGGTTCTGCCTATGCCAACATATGAACTTTCTATTTTCAGTGCTAATACTAAATTCTTCTGTCATCCCGTTGTTTAGGAAGAATAGACTATAATTCCATATCGTGTCTGTAAACAGATTTAGAAACTTCAGCCAATAACCATCGTTGGGGGTGAACAGCTTTCTTTCAGGTAGAATTCTTCCATGGGAAAATAAACAATTTGATTTATGATTTTTGTGTGATTCTCTGTAAGACAATGTGCCTGGTTGTCGTAGAATGAGTTCCTTGTGTAAACTTTGTATAAGCTTTTGTTGTTGCTACTCTAATTGATTCTTTCTGTTTTTAGAGATCGCTAATTCTTGAATCGTTAATACTCAACGACTTGTCATGCCTGATGTGGTTAATCTATTCCATTCTTTCTGGAAAATGGAAATGCCTTGATTTTCTCTTCGTTTGCAACCTTTAACCTGCCGCTGCATGTGTATATACAATGAAAAGCTATTGTTGAGCTTCCACTAGCTGGTAGTTTCAGTCCTCCAAATTTCGAGGAGTAAAGTTCTTTACAAATTTTGCATATTTCTTTCTATGTTGTGACTTGGCTTTATATGCATAATGTTTTTATTATTTTTACAAAGTGATATGTAGAATTCCAAATGTTTCTAATATATATATAAATATGCACCATGGAAAAAGATAATAAAAATACTAATTATTTAAACAAATGATGATTTGTGATAGAGGATTTGAACTTAATTTTAGAATTCCACCAAAATAACTTCATACTAGCATGTAATTAAATTATATTATGTCGTTTCATTATTTAAAAATTTAGTGTAATTGATATGGAGTATAGTCTTTATACATACATACATATACATATATATAATGGTTTACCATACTATTTTGTTTAGAACCCATTATTTTTGTTATATCAATTATTAGTTATATATGAATTCATAAATTTACCATATTAATTGAAATAAATTTACGTTATACTTAAGTTCAGTTTTTATTTAATTATTAATTTATATGTTACTCTTCCTGTTCGTAAATAGAATATAGTTTATTAAAATTTACTTTGGAATATATATATATATATATTTAAAAAAAAAATGTTTTCCAAGTCTGTAACTGTGAAAGGTTCTAAATTACCTGTACGGGGACAACATTGAGCGCACAAAGTATTCAATATAAATTTATATATGAATTAATTTTTTTAATTTAGCTTATTATTTTGTTGTTAAATAAGTGAATTAAAAGAAAAAAAAATCATAATTTGGCTATTATTTTATAAATTAAAACACCAAAATCAAATTGAATTTATTTATATTTAAATTTATAAAAATACTAAAACACAAAGAAATATTTTTATAAAGTTTATTTAATTTTAACATAAAAATTAATTAAAAAATTAAAGCTAAACTATCATTTGTCAGTTAATAATTATTATCGTACATCCGGTTCCAGAGAAACATCCAACCATTCCCTTCATAAAGATCTCTCCCCCTTTCGTTCCCAAAATTTTCCCCTCTTCAACACCGAAAAGAAGAGCGGTCTCATAATCTCTCTCGCCATCTCACTTTCCCTCTCTCTTCGCCGTCCCGCCTCGTGATTCGCGTTCTGATCTCCTCCTCCCTCCTTATTCTTCGAACCCTAATTAAACCCTCACTCCCTAACCCTAACTCACTTAGTCAGGAATCCACATTATCCGGCCCCTTCTTCTTCTCCCCCTCCCTTACTTTCCCGGAGAACAGGTGTCGAGTTTATCAATTAATTAAAGCTTTTTGAGGTAAGGATCATATCCTCAAATTCGTTGTTTCGAGTATTAATTTAATTTATTGTTCGCTTACTTGTTAAGAGAATGAAGGAGGTTTCAACCAAACTCTATAAGCTTCCTGTCCTAGGGTTTTTTCGCTGGAGCCTTAATTTCCCAGTATCATTTATTTGCAATGGAGTGATCACTTGAAATATATATATATATATATGTGTGTGTGTGTGTGTGTGTGTTATATATTGTTTTGAAAACTGTCTTCTATATCCACTGCTTGTTGTCCTTAAACTGTTAATGATTCTGTTGCTTTGGATTTCAAATTTCGGTTACCTGTTTTCTCATTTTCATTGTCCTTTTGTTTCTTCCTCTCTGTCTTGATATGCAGTAAATGCTGAACAGAATTATGTTTGTCTGCATGCATATCCTTTTTGTGCGTTATTCTATGGATCACGTATCTTTTTGTTGGTTGTTGTGTCACATTCAGTGAGTTCTCCTGGTATTTTTTCTATCAATTCATGATCGCTTTTAACGTTTGTTAATGGAAAACTGTTGGGATTCTTTTTGGTGTGTATGTGCAACATGATACCTCATGCATAAAGCAATTTGCTTATTATTTTCTATATTTGTTTTTCTTTACTAGGAAGCACTATTTATGTTTCTTCTGACGTAGGTTATTCTTTTATAGAAAAAGACACCACTCTTTTTCTGTTGGAACTTTTGGTTGAGGACAAGGAAACACGGTTGCTTTGTACTTGAACTGTCATTGACTCGTTTCTCAAGCTGCTGAGTAATCTTAGCTGGTGATTATCAGTATTTTTACTTCTAGAAGTTTGAATTTGGGCATGCATTTGGAACTATTGACCATATGCTTTCTGGCCAGAAGAAATCATGAGTGGTGAAATTATGCATTTATGTGAAATAGGTTTTTCTCTGTATCATTGTGCATATGGAAAAAAGTGAGACTCCTGTTTTTGGAAATCCTTTGTTGTGTTTCTACTTCTCTAATTTTGCCGTGCTGTTGTTTTTTTTCCTCTACTCTGGTTAAATTGTTAAAGGTTTTTTATTTTCCGTCCTTTGTGTTATCTGACTCTGCTCTTTGAATGCTCATCATTTGTGGATCATGTGAGCATTCTAGCTCTTATTCGCCATGGTGGTTTGCCTGCTAAAACATCTTTTACCCATAGCTGCCAATCTATCTCCCATAAATAAGTCTGTTCCTGCTGAATGGGTATATTTTCTTGTTATTTGAGAACTCACATCTTCATTTTCTTGTTATTTGAAAACTCACATCTTCATGTTTTGATCGTTTCTTAGCATCATGTCCTTTTAAATCCAATCTCACGATTTTCTAGACGATATTTATTTCTTTGACAATGGGATTAGAGGGGTATTGACCATAATCAAGTCGAGGAGGTTCCATGTTGTCAGTAATTTGTGCACTAGGCAAAATTTGTTTGTTATAACTCTGGACTCCTGTCCTTGTCAGTAGTGAGATGGAACAGAAATCCTGTTTATTACTGGGTTCAAATTATGCTGTCAATGCCTCCTCTAAATTATTTTATACATTTATGTAGGTTGGATTTAACTGAACTGCAGGTGTCTGCTTTATTTCTGATTACTTGGTGTATTCATGTTGCTGCTTCTTTCTTTTCCTCTTGCAGTTTGGACAGGTTCTGTTAAGAATGAGTCTGCAACCAGCTGTGCAACCTAAACCTTCTGCTAATGGATTTGGCCGCCGAAGGGTTGAAAGAGATCCAGGTACAAGGTCAGAGAACAAATTGCAGTCTGGAAAGTCAAACCACGGGAGAGTGGCCAATACTGGTGAACTTCAGTGGCCTTAAATGTTTTATACATCACATTATGTTCTGCTTTTGATGATGGTTGGTGTAGGTGCTCTGGCTGGTGGCAAAATTGGGGGTTTTGAGAATCCTTCCCGCGACCGGCTAGTATATATAACAACATGCCTAATTGGCCATCATGTAGAGGTCCAGGTGAAAAATGGATCAGTTTACTCTGGAATATTTCATGCAACAAATGCTGAAAAAGATATGGGTATGTTCTTTGTATTTAGTTTTTTATTATTATGATGACCAATTTGAATTTTTTTCTTCAGCACCGTATTGGAAGACATACCAAAATTTGTTCTTTACAATAATAACTTGCTCTGCCTCTCCCAGGAGTCATATTGAAAATGGCTTGCTTGAGAAAGGATGGTACTTTGCGAGGACAGAAGGCCCCATTGGAGTTTGTTAGCAAGGCACCGTCAAAGACTTTGATTATACCTGCCAAAGAACTTGTGCAAGTTATAGCAAAGGTGCTGCGGCATTTCTTCTTTTTTCTATTACTTTTTGTAGAATCTGGTTTGTATAGGTGAATTAACTTCAGGTGGTGATGTGTGGTCTCTTTTTGATTACATAATTTATTTCAGCTTTTAGTTACGTGATCATTGTTGATTTTAATTGGGTTAGTTAACTATGGTGCCAGGACGTGGCTGTTACAAGAGATGGGTTGTCAAATGAGCTGCAATGCGGTAAACAGCAGGAACTTATGATCGATACATTCATATCCCAATCTCGGCATGTTGAGCTTGAGAGAGAGCTAGAGCCTTGGGTACCCGATGAAAGTGATCCAGATTGTCCAGAGTTAGAAAATATATTTGATGGGCCCTGGAATAGGTTGTTATATTAATTGTTGCCTCCCTCATAATTTTGTGGCAGTTGGTACACTGTTCTAATCGCTTGCATTGTTTGGCTAGATGACATCTAAAATGTGTTCTTGTTCAATGATCAACCTTAGTTTTGAACGGGATATCTGCTTCCTTAAATTGTATCATCTTTCAATATTGTTCAATATTTGTAATTTATTGGGAAATAGACTACAATAGGGACTTGAAAGTTAGCACTACAAATAGTATGAATGTCTGAAAAAATTTGATGCAGTCTTCCATCTCCAACTAGGTTGGTCACTGTTGAATTGCTTGCCTTGACTTTACTAATCAATAATTCACATGCAAATACAAACATATGTTCTAGAACTGGGGAAGGACTTGAAAGTTATACTAGAGTAAGCCTAGAGGGGTGGTGCAAATATGTATCAACTATGTTAATAGGATTAGAAGAAATTCAGACACTCTCTGGTTTGAGCATGGAGTGGTGCAAATATGTATCAACTATGTTAATAGGATTAGAAGAAATTCGGATACTCTCTGGTTTGAGCATGTGAATGCATCACGGCCAAAATAACTTTCCTGGCACATATCATGATAGATGGGCAGGCTCAAGGAGGAGGATTTTTTTTTCTTCATATGTTTTGAGGCGTTGCTGCATGTCTTTCCCTGGATGAGTGAAATTGTGAACAAATCAACTCCAGAAATCATTATGTTCTTTTTTACTTGTGTTTTTACAAATAGTCTTCTCTATGGTGTTTTCTCCAATTCAGCCTTTGACATAATTTGCTTTCAGAGGCTGGGATCAGTTTGAGGCAAATGAAATGCTCTTTGGAGTCAAGACCACTTTTAACGAGGAATTATATACAACAAAACTTGAAAGAGGTCCCCAGATGAGAGAGTTGGAAAAGGAAGCTATGAGAATTGCGAGAGAGATTGAGGGTGAGGAAACACATGATCTTCATTTAGCAGAGGTGAGGTTTTGCTTGTTATTTTATGCCCCTTGAAACTCACATGATTATTTTCTATATCTTTCTTAATTTCTATTTACATGATTAACAGGAAAGGGGCTTCCAGCTTCATGAGAAATTTGACATTGATGAGGAGACCAGATTCTCAGCAGTAGTCAGGGGTGGGGTAGATGATAGTGGGTATGAAGAAGAAGAGGACATAGTGTTGAATTCACGAAATAGTGAAACCTTTGGGGATTCCTCTGTTTCTTTCAGTAAGAAATCAACTGATTTGACCATCAGTAAAGGAAATGATGGAGCTCAAATGTCAACAAGCTCTTTCCTAGCGGTAGTTCTTAGTTAATTTCCTAGAAAATTTAAAATTTTTTCCTAAGTTGTTCATAACATCTATTTATTTTCACTAAAGACATGATTACTTCTATATGAGCCTATTGTTACAGTTAATTTCTGTAGTTAGATATATTTAGTTGGTTAATAATTTTGTTGAAAAAGCACTAAGTATCATTTAAATAATTACATAGGTAGATTTTGTGTCTCTTAAGTTGCATGTCCATCTTGCAGGTTGTGGTATGATTAATGTTATCCCATGATAACAATTTATTGCTATCATGCATGGAACAAAAAGTTAAAACACATTTAAAACTTTAGAAAGATTTAAAGTTGGTGATGATCTTAGAGAATCACGTTTTCAGGGAATCCAAAATACATTGTTATAACAGATATCTATTAGTCTGTATCAGCTCTTACCATGTAAACTGAATTTGGGTGCACTGGAGTTAATCTCCATTTGGAAAAACTTTCATGATATAGAAGCAAAACAAGTAGTATACAAGTTGTTTTTTATGTTCTTGTCTTCTTTAACTTATATAAAAGTGTGCTTCTTCTAGAGCGTGCAGATTATATTATTTGGTTGTCCAGTTGAATTCTTCATGCCTCTGTTAGTGATGATTTCAATGAAATTTTTCAGGGAGTGTTGAGATGTTGAAATTGGTGGTATTTGGATTCTCTTTATTTTTATTCCCTATTATTGTTTTTTGTATTTGCAAATTAATGGGATGGAAGGGATTGTGTTGGCGTTAGGAGTTTGACTCCATTTAGATATGGTACTAATTGCTGCATGCTTACGTTATTTTGGTAATAAAGTCGCCATCTTGTGTAATCCTTTGTGGCTCTAGTAGTGAAGTTCAGACTTCATGGCTCTAGGAGTGAACTTTAGTTACCTTTGAATTTTTCTGTCAGTCTTCCTCGCCATGTTTATTCATTTACTGGCGGCTGGAGGGGAGGGCTCGTATGTTTCAGCTTGGGTTGTGTGGGTTGACTACTAACCAACTTCTAGGACTTCAGTTCATAATGGAGTTAGTACTTCTTACTTGGGTTGTTATTTAACTAAATTGAGTGAATGCAATGTAAAAGCAATGTTTTTTTTTTTTCGGAAAACAAGTTTTCTTTTAAAGGATAAGATGTGTCAGGAATACGACTTGGATAATAATTATTATCTTTGGTGCATGTTCCTGCCAGGGGAGCATGCATAGATGTGGTATATTTATAGTTTCCAGACTTCTTCTGATTGTGTCATGCATAGATGTGATAAAATTGCAAGGTGTCCAATAATCACATATCTATATGAGTTTGACCGGAGTGGTCGCTTACAAGGGTATACATGTAAACACAGTTGATAATTCGTCATATTAATGGACTTGTTAAATCTTGTTTCAGTTAGCATGTTACTTCTGTATGCCATCAGATTTTGGTTGAGTTTCTGCACTCTGAAGAAGTGGAAGTTGCATGCATCCTCCTCACTAAGTTTGCTTTGCCTGGAAGAAGCTATTCATGAAGTCTTAATGCATGCTTTCAAGAAATCTAAATGTGCATTCACTTGTGAGCTTGTGCTTCTTTATGTTCTTAATATATCCTACATGCCTCTTCAGGATGAAGCACAGGCTTCCCAGTTGAGTGCTGTCGTGGATTTAAGTCGATCCAGCTCTCATGATCATGCCAGACAGCTGGCATCTGAACTTCCATCCAGAATTTCCTCTGCTTCTGACAATGAAAGCAGGTTAATCTTATAGGTTTATCTTAATGTTCTTTGGCAGTAGTAAATAGAATGGTGATTCATGATAATAGTTCTGAAGTTGCTTTTTAGATGACTAAATGAATAAAAAAGGTTTCTTTTCTGTCTAGGATCCCGGAGACTCTGCTGAGTGAGCATGGAGGAGATGGTGATGCTAAGGAGTCTGTAGAAAAACAAAAGGTAGGTTAAAGTCATTGTATGTTTCTGTTGAGTCTTCGTTGCTTCCTGTGTCCAGTTTTTGTCTCATTTCTTCTGATGGATTTCTTTTCATTCCCTTCACTCCTGTTTCGTTTCTATGCAGCCTACTGAGGCATCAATGTCAAACACCGATGGTAAGTGAAAATTTCTTCTCTTTTTATTTTTACTCCGTTTAATCTTCGAGTTCAATGTTTATTTCAAACAAAAAAAAAATTCTGAGTTCAATGTTTCATTTTACAATCTAGTTGATTGTAGGACGTGATTGGGTGCAGATAGAAAACCACACATCTTTTTTGTTTTACATATCCTTTTTCGTTGGGTTTTTTCACACGGAAAATTAGGGTCATGTTCCAATGCACATTAACATTAGTACTATGCATTTTTCATTTTTAGTTTACTTTTATCCATACTGTCAACCCAGTGGAGGCGGAGTTAGAACATTCTAGTGGTGGGATAAATAAAATACAAATAAAAATACTTACTGATGAGATTAAAATTACCAAACTATGGGTCAAAAGTAACCATTTATTTTGACTAATATAGTCATTATTATTAAAATTATAAGCTCAAACTCAAGTCTGCTTGCTTGTGCTCACTTGGATAAAGGATGAGCCACCTTTGTACCTTACCATCTGTTTAATGAGATTTGCAAGTATTATTTTGTTAGCTGATTATGGGGCAATGTTGAATGTAGATTCTATTTTGTCATTGAATGGGAAGATAGATGACTCTGAAAAAGGAGGACAATCTGGTAATGTCACAACTTGTGATTCATCCCGAGCTTCATCAAAGGGCAAAGAAATGCCTATTTCTTCTAGTGAGTTGTTGGAGGGTCCAGTAGCTGGCAAAGCACCTGGAGAAACACAAACTGTCAGTTCTCGGGGTCGGCCTGGGAGTTCTGCTTCGTCTAGTTCAGATTGTGTAGGTGCTGCCTCAGCTCCTAGTGCTCCTGGTTTATCACCAAGTTCATCAATGGGCTCATTATCATCTGAAAAATCAACACTCAATCCCAATGCCAAGGTATGCTCAATTTTAATTTTTTAAATTCTCAACTTTATTGGTTACAAGGTAAGAAAAAAACGTGTACGCACATTTTTGCTTCTGACCAAAGAGAAACTTCAAATTTTTATCTTGGCTTCTTAGTTGATCTTTTCACACGTTGCTGATGCGTTATCACATATTGTCAGGAATTCAAACTTAATCCTAATGCAAAGAGTTTCACACCATCTCATTCACCTGTTCGGCCTCCATCCCCAGTGTCAGATGGTTCCTTCTACTATCCTGCTAACGTGTCAGCAATACCACATATGCATGGCATGCCCGTTGGCTATGGTGTAAGTAATCTTAGTTTTAAATTGTTTGTTTCTATACCACTTCTTTCTTCTTTGGAGTTTCAGTAGGTTCCTTACAGTCTCCGATAGGTCTTCTTTTGGATGTCTGTAAAATTCCGTCTAATTCAATTCCAGAGACAAATTAATTTTACCATGGTATCGCATCGTTTCTTTTGTTTTGCGGTAGAATTTGGGGTGGTTTTATTTTTTTTTGGCATTGTTGTGATGCTGGGGAGTTATGTTCCTATGAAGTTCTTATGAACTGATACCTTTGGATTAAGTTTATAGGGGATTCTCCTTCTACTGAGTAATAATGGCAGCTTTTTCATTTTCTATTGAGGTGGTGAGTAATAATGGCAGCTTTTTCATGTAGCAGTTTTTCCTTATTTTGGGATCATATAACCTGATAATTGTAGGTTCCTTATTCTATCATTTTTTTTAGAGTGATCCATTTCTTCCTTGCTGGCGAACTAAAACATTATCAAACTGAAGTGTTATGTGAGAACAAGATGGCAGATGGCGTTAGATAATAGGCATCCAACTATATAAGTGTTATTCATTAACTAAAATGTCATATGAGAAAAAAGATGGCAAATAAATATTTCTGAGATTTTAATTCTTCATAACATGCTTTATGGCAGGTATTCTATTATCTACTTACGGGTGTGATAATCCCTATTTTTGTTGTCTATATTTTTTCTTTTTTCTGCAGTTTGTCTCAGCTTTCTTCTACTACTATCACTAACTTTTGTTTGTGTGTGTGTGTTTTTTTTCCTGCAGATAGGACCCTCTTTTACTGGACACCAACCTGTTATATTTAATCCAGCAGTGGCACCTATACAATCACCACAAGCATATTTTCATCCAAATGTTCCTCAGGTGTGAATGGCACTGTCCATATTTGAGCTGGCATGTAAGTTTAGTTTTTATATAACATCTTCATATCGGATATTAATCAATTGTATTATTGGTTAACAGTATGGACAACAGATGCTGCTTGGCCAGCCTAGGCAATTTGTGTACATGCCAAGCTACCAACCTGTAAGCAATGCTATGAATTAAGAACTGAATCATCTGAAAATATTCCTCTTATATAGAGATTACTTTCCTCTTTGGTAGTGCAACATGAAAGTATCGGGTTAATTTTATGAGTACTTTATATTGACAGGAAATGCCATATAAAGGACGAGATTATTAACCAATTATTATTGGCTAACAGCATTCTTGGCAGCTCGACCCTGCTCACAAAGAATAAGCTTCTGAAAGGCTGCTTGGACACAATTTTCTGTGAAGAAAAAAGCCCACAGGAGGTGAAGGTTATCTTTTTATACTTCGACCCTAGCGGATTCCACGAAGGATTATTGCCAGTCTGGGATATAATTATACACCAGCTTGATGTTTAATTTCAATTTCTTAGCCTTATTGCCTCATACTTCCTTACTGCTTGTTTTATTCTGATGAAGTAGATTGGAATTCTTTTGAGGGTGAAATGATCTATAATTTTTTTTGTCTTTTAAAAATATTTGCTAGTCTTGATTATATTTTCATTTTTCCTAACATTTTCCGTTTTGCTGATGGTACACTTCCGACTTGCCTTCCTTTGTTGTCGGTAATGGAGATAAAACCAAAACAATGTGATTCGCTCTTTAATTCAATTCTCTTCGTTTTAGGTGTGTGGTACAAAATTGTTGCATGTTGTAATACAATGAGATCTGAGTTACTTGGGATGCCTTATAATAGATAAGGGAGGGGCGAAACATATTGGGAAGACTAGGAAATGACATTTGTTGTTTACTAAAGTTCTTGATTTTCTTATTATGAAAATCCTGTACCTAATACATCCAGTGGAAGGGAAGTGTTTTCAATCATTACTATTTGACTCAACCTGATGTAAAGAACTTGAGGTTGCTCGAATTGTTTGTTGAAAGTCAAAGGGAAATTATTGAAGGTATTTTTGACATTGGATTATTGACATATAATGCTTCTGAATGGAATTTTTTTGGAAAAAAATGTTTGGTAGTTGGTTGCAGTCCAAGTTTTTCGGTTGTTAAAGTTGACCATTTGCACTAAATCACGAGTAATGACCGACCCAACAACCGTAACAATTTTGGCATCATACCTATATTTATATATCCTTTTTCCAAGTTTGAAATTAAAATCTTCTTTAATCTCGCTTGATAGTTTTGTACTTTGTGACAAAAGAAATAGATAATAATTTCAGTTTGTCATAGATATTGATATGCGGACGAACATGAGAACAAGTAAAGGTTTTTGACCTCCTTTACTCAGCGATGTTTACGGTCAAAAATAAAGTAAAAACAATTAGTGTTTTCTTGAAGAAATATTTGATTGTTAGTACGCAACATGTAGGAGAAATTGGAAGGCACGTGTGTGTGTGTGTGTGTGTGTGTAAGAATTTTTTAGTTTGTATTACCGGTACAACAAGGATACGTACATTATTATATTTTCATTAGTAATTTGATTGACCAACAAAATTAATCAAGTGTGACCTATATATCAAACTAATGATTGTGTAATAGTGAATTAACATATACCCATAATTTAAGATAAATTATTGTCTGGATATGACATACATACATATATATATATATATATATATATGGTATCTGTGAAGATTTTATTTGTTAATTAGTTAGTATTAACCCAATCAGGAATTAATAATTTATGTTGTTGTACAGTTGTGTATTCTGTTCTCCAGTTATGTCCCAACAAGGGAATGTTGTCCAGCAATATACAATGAATATGTATGTGTATGAACTTTAGTTTGGATTACAAGTTCTAGGAGAATGATGCTTGGTAATTGGTATATCATTAAGTTTGTTTAAAAGTATATATATATATATATATTTATAAAACCCAATTCTGCAATGTTTTTAAGAGAGACAATAATTAGCAGTGTAGGTTATGTAATTTGAAGGAAAAAAAGAGATGATTTGGTTTATAATTATTTCTATTTTAATGTCAATATTGGGTTAGAAACCCAAATAACAACAATCTCACAGTTTTATGAAAATTAAAAGTTTAAGATTTTATTTAAAAAAAAAAAATAAGTCAGAATTATATTATTAAAGAAGATAGAAAAATGAAACTTTATTAGTAATCTGGAGGAAGGAACCAAAAAGAAGCAACAGGCAGATGAAATTTGTTTCCCAAAAAGGGGAATTGGAAGACGTCTGTCACCCAGCGAGGTTCCAAACCCAATTTACAACACAACAAAACATGATTTTAAAAGTTTGGATAAGATTCCATCTCCGCATCGAATTAAATTATAACAAGTCACAGGGATTTAGCGAGCAGTTTCAGTAAAAATAAAAAATAAAGCGACGTGGAGGGGGGGAGGGCGGCTGAGGTTATTAAAGACGGTGAGAGCATATGAAAATGACGTCTGAATTTTCTGCCTCTATAATTTATTATTCATTACACGACAAAATACTCTAAATTCCAACCCCAACAAAAAAAACAAGAAGAAAAAATTAACATTAAATAACAACAAAAAAGAAATGATTAATCTAATATATAATATCTAATAATTTGCTAAAGTTGAAAAGTGAACAGGGCTTTGCTGATGGTAATGGTCATGATAATGGTGGTGAGGTGAGAGAGAGAGGGAGAGAGAGAGAGTCTTTCCACCAAAGCCAATACCCAGAGGAACAGGAGAGAGAAGAGTCTTTGGGGTTTGCTTTGAGGAAGAAAACATGCACGAATCCAAGCTTGCAACAATACCCATTACCTATTTCTCTTCACTTACTACCAAAATCACAAAGGTCTTCGTCTCTCTCTGTTTTCTCTCTTCTTCAAATGTTATCATGGTTTCCCTTTTTCTGCGTTTTGTTCTTTTCTTTTTCTTTTCTGATTTTGTTTTATTTTAACTCCGTTGTGTTGATGGGGAATTTTCTTAGTTATGATGAATATTTGGTTTCCGAGGATTCGCAGCTTCTAAGGTTGATGTCGGTGTTGAAATGACGGTAGGTTTGAGGTTTTTGGACTAAAATTTCTCTCCTCATGGGTTTATCCTTCTTTTTGGGTGTTCTTGTTTTTGTGATTTTACTTCTGGGACTTTGCATGTTTCAGAAACGGCTTCTAATTTCAACATGGTTCTTTACTGATTCAGGCCTGGAGTTCCTCCGCAAAGTAGTCTGTTTAACATTTCCTATTTTTGAGTTTTTGAAATCGTTCTTTTCTACTCAAATGTCTTATTTTCATACCAATGCTTTTATGCTTTTCTTCACTTTGAAGTTGACTAGATAGTTTTCCATTCAATATTTGGTTATGGAGTTAGACGCCTGCTGATCTTTCTTCTTCTGTTATTGAGTTTTGCATGATGCGTCTTGGTTGTTCAACTGATTTGTTCTTATATTTTGATTCATTGCTTAGCATGGTTTACTTGTTTTGCAATTTATCTGGAATGTGTTCAACTTCTTGTAATTTATTTTCTCCAAGTCACAAACACGCAGTATAATGTCTGTAGTGTTTGGCATTATTATTCCTTTACAATGGATGGTATAAATGGCTTTCAGATTTGCCTTGCAAAATGGAAATCAAAATAATAGCATTGAAGAGGTTTGGTCTTAAATGTCCATATACTTGTTATATCTGCTGCTATAATCTTTTAATTCTGATGAGATACGTGAAGTCCTTAGTTTACCAGTAAGGTAAACATTTTCTTGACCTTACTGATAAACTAGCTTTTAGCAGGGTGAACCTGTTCACTTTTGATGATTATCCTGTTCAAGTAAGGTCGTATTCACTTTTGATAATTATCAACGCCCGTATCTCTTCAGCTACAGTCTTTTGTTCTTTTTTGAATTAATTAGTTAAGATCTCTTTCTGGGAGACATTACAACTTTTCTTCTTTTTTTTGGTTATTATGGATTGCAATAAATAACAGAATGTCATTTGATGGTTGCTCGGATCATGGGTTGTTGATGAGCAGGCAAGCTAAGTAAGCTTTTCAGCATTTGCACTTGAGAAGAATTAAAGAACTCGTTATCATAGTCTGTGATACTTTGGAATAGTAGCTTGAGGCAGCATTGGAAGAGAATGCAACCTTTGCATAAGAAAGAATCTGGTTTAAGTTCTTCCCAATCAGCATCACCATATGTTGTTGCATGCCCATCATGGGGGCATTCTACTGATTCCAATGTCCAATCATCATCTATGACTGAAAATTTAAGCCTGAAGATGGGGGCTTTGCCACAACATTTTCATAGCACAAAACAACTGAATTTCCAGTTTCAGGACCAGGATTCATCTTCAACTCAGTCTACTGGTCAATCATATCCTGAAGTTGCTAGTATGGGTGACAGCAACCCTTATGGACAGAACACTGGTTCAACAGTCTCAGGTCTTTTCATCAACTCTAATTTTCCGTATTTTGTTTGGTCCTTCATGGGTACCATGTGGATTTTAGGTTGCAGGAGAACTTACCAATTCCTTTTCCCCTATGTTTCTTCTTTTTTCCCCCAAAATTTTCTTCTTACTTAGTTACTGAAGTTTTCACTAGAGCAATGGTGAACTTTTATCTCCTCTAACCTTGTTTTTTGTGCATTTCAATTGTGTTGAAAAGAATAGGAGTAAGAAGCTATTGCCTTGCCTTTCATGTGATTTTTTATTTCTCCGGTAGATTTAAACACGGTTTGAATTGAGTTCTTTTTACAAAATATTTTCACTGTTTTTCTTTAATTTAGGGGTCTAATACTCATCTTTTTAGGTCATGAATGTGTCTGATAAAGTTCTCTTGTGCGCATTCAGGATATGATGAAATGCACAGGAAGTCTGCTGGAGGTCACTCTAAATTAGCCTCATCAATGGGATCTCAGGATTTTGTTTTTCCTCTCTCCCAAGTTAGTTGGTCAATTATTAAGTTAATAATAGTACTGTTTGCCAGCCTTTGGGCTGAATCAAAACCTTATATATTCTCGGTTTTTGCAGCAGACTCGCTTCCCTCTCCACTATGCTGAACCTTGTTTTGGTGGTTTACTGACTCCTGCTTATGTACCCCAGGTATGGTTAATTTATCTAGAATTCAATACTATTCACTTTGTTTTCTTTTGGGTTGATGGCTTCTGTTGTAGTATTTAATGAGAAAAAGAAATAAGGTAATTTGGTGAGTTTCTTCTTAAACCCTTGTTTGAGTCCGGATGTAGTTCTTGGAAGCTTGTAATAAATAATCATGCACTTCTGTTCTTTTGGAGCATGACAGTACATGAAAAACCATCCTGCTAGTTTTTTTCGTAGAAGCATTTTCATGTGGTTCGATGTTTACTGAAAAGTTTTAATTGATTGGTCTTGTTTGTCCAGCAAAACACCATTCAACAGAGCATTTATAAATGAAATATGAAGCTATTAGGTTGACTATAATATATCTATTATGCACTTTGTCTCTATTAAAAATAAGAAATATTAAGCACTTTTAAGTGCTTAGGCTTCACTTTTTCCCTCCTACTAGAGTATCTCATTTATGTGCTTTTCTCATTGGTCAGGGGAAAGTCTATGTAAAACTTTATTTTTAAAAAAAGGTCTATGTAAAACTGCACTAGTTCTTTTCTTTTTGTTTTTAAGGTGTATTTATTTATGTCTATATAGAGTCTAGGATTTCACTATTTTCACCAAGTGGCGACTTCCTTGACATCATTTATGTTGTTCTTTAAAAGAATTTTTGGAAAAAAATTTGCAATAGGTTCTTTAAAGTTCATAAAGGGGGCGTGTGTAGTATTAAGCCTTTTAATAATCTATTTTACAATATATTTTACTTTGCATCTTTCCTTTATTTATTCTTCATTTCTTATGTTATCTTAGTGATTCTGTGGTAGGAATTCACTCATGTTTTTACGCTTGGGAGGCCACTATCTATGTGGAATGCCATGCGTTTACTTTCAAGATATAGAGGCAAAATTTATTAAAACTAGGCATAGTTGTTTCTATTAGCTGTTTATAACTAGAGAGGAAACACGAGAGGTTCCCGGATATCTTATTTAATTTTGATTTATGCTTTCAACACTGTGTGTTCTATAAGCAGTTCATTCTCGATATTCCTTTTCTTTTCATTTCATTTAAATGATTACCTGAAGATTAATGTAAACCATGTTAGTCTTTCTTTTTTTCTTGATGAGATGTGTATTCTCTGTTACCCATTCATGATGTCTTCAATGCTGAAATGTCAACGGATTCATCACCCACAGGTGATGGGGATAGTTCCTGCTCGAGTGCCTCTACCTCTGGATATGAAAGAGGATGGACCAATTTATGTCAATGCAAAGCAATACCACGCAATTCTTAGGAGGAGGAAGCATCGGGCCAAGCTTGAGGCTCAGAACAAACTCATCAAAGCCCGGAAGGTCTGTGGCTCCTAGGTTTTCCAATTCTTGTTGAATCTTTAATTACAGCATATTTTTGCTAAGAAACTGATCAAAGTGATTTTCCCATGTTATGTGTTTGTAGCCTTACCTTCACGAGTCTCGACATCTTCATGCCTTGAAGAGAGCAAGGGGAACTGGTGGACGCTTTCTTAATACAAAGAAGCTCCAAGACTCCAAATCTACTCCCGCAGACCGTGTTCTGGATGGCTCAGGCTCTCGTCAACTACATGTGGATGGGAATATGTCGGAATCTGAAGTTCATCATCCTGAAAATTGCAGAGGCGGTGTTTATGCTGCTGCCTGCTCCGACATCACTAGTGCTTCTACAAGTGACAACTTATACCCACAACAAGAATTCAGGTTCTCGGGCTATCCATCTCGCGGTGGTGGAACAATTTACAGTCAATCAGGCGGCCTGCATCATCTTTCTGTCCTCCTGTGAGAGGTGAGACAAGCAGTGGTCATCATGGCAGTCTGTATTTTGGTTCAGTTGCAGAATGCAGCTGCCATTGTTCCATTGGGAAGTCATCCTTGGCTCTGTTAATTTGCTTGTTAGTTTCACTTTTTTTTTATTGGGTTTTTTGAAAAATCAGGAACAGATCTTTCACTCTGGTTGTCCGCATCATTTTGGATGGTGTTCGGAGTGATATTACGTCATGTGATTCATGGTTAAACATGGCAAGATTTGCGTATGTTTGGTGCTTATCATTAGTGTTCTCATCATGCGATTGCCTGGTGACTTTTGCGTTTTGACACTCACCATAATAGTCCAGAGTGATATTTTTACAACTTGTTAATCAGTCGGTTGCTAATGAGTGTAGCTTGGAAACACAACTTTGCATTTTCAAAGTTTAGTGCAAGACAATACCAATGATTAATTTTAAGAATCACACAGATTATTTTTCGTGTAATATTTGTGGAAAAACTTTAGTGTAAAAAGATTTTTGGAAATAATAATAATAATAATAATAATAATTCTATTATTATCAAATTTGACCCATTTAATCATTTATTGGGTCTGATTTTAATGATCTCATACATGATATTTTTGATGTATTAATTCTTGCTAAATTTAATACATTTTTTGATTTACGACAAAATTAATAAAATATTAGACGTAATATATGTTATTAATGTAGATTTGATCATAGTACACAAATGGCAAAACGTTCATTCACAAAGCATACATCCCATCGCAAATCAGACGGCAGAGAATCTTCTGTTACCGACTGATTCCACACATGACATCCACGGGATAATTAGTCTCCTGTCAAATCATCAAATGACATGTCATCCACTCATGCTTCCACGTGGATGGTATTCGTAGAACCGTCCACATAAAATCTTTACCCACTCTCCGTTTCCTACACACACACACACACACACAGGTTTATTTTTCGACAATCGGACTCGACGCAGCTTTCTCAAATCTACTTAACCCGATTGACAAATCCAGATTCAAATCCGTCTACTTCCCGGAGTTTACCCCCAACAAAACTTATAATTCCCTTTCTGTCCTCTCTTCTCTATTTAGCGCTCTTATTTAACCCTGAATTGTTTTCCGTTTTTCCATGACTATAACATCAAGAAAAAAATAATCTCTCTTCTGACGGACACAGAGAGATGGAAGGAGGAAGTCCACAGTACAATCCGCGCTCGGTGGAGGAGGTTTTTAGAGATTTCAAGGGACGACGAGCCGGCATGATCAAAGCTCTCACCACAGGTTTTTGTTTCTGTTCTCTCCCCTTTTATTGAAAGTTTAAATAATGGGAAGGAAAAAAGCTAAGGGGACTGTTTTTGTTTGTTCGTTTTTCGAATTTTGGTTTTTATGCTGTTTTGTGCCTGGGGAGAATGGGGTCTAGTGCTTCGTCTCCGCTTTGTTTCCACTGCACGAGTCCCGTTTTTGGTTCCGTCTTAGAAGTGATGAAGATTTTGAGTTATGATGTTATTCTTTTTCCTACTGTTTTCTTCTTTTCAGTGGAAATCTTAGGTAGCGTGTTTTCCTTTCGTTTTGTTTGGTTAAACAACGTCCGGTTATTTTGTTTTCCGCAACTTGAATTCATGTGGTAAGGAGAACTGAAAATATCGAATTCTGTTGGGTTTACTTGAACCAGAGATTTGAATTTGCAGTTAATTGTTGAGCTTTTTATTCTTTATATCTTCGATTTTTCTGAAATCGAATGAGACGCAATGTGGCTTCTTGTTGTCTACTAATTAGTATTTTGGTTTTGGTTTTTAATACTTCTTCTTCTTTTTTTTTTTTTGAGAGAATGGAGAACTTATTGAACCTGTTCGTTCTAATTTTTTTTGTGTTTTATTTTTTCACAATTCTACTGCCAGTAATTTTGTTTACCTGGAGCTTACAATTTTTGGGGTAGGAGTAAACATTTAAACGTTAATTTATTGAATGTTGGAGGCTAGTTTAGGATCCCTGTCCGCAAATTTACACAAGGAAGCTTTTTTTTTCTTTTAAACAGATGAATTTTGAAGATAGGTTTTAAGTTTTTTTAGTGCTTATCAGCTTTTGGTTTTGTTGTCTTGTAGATGTGGAAGAATTTTACCAGCAGTGTGATCCTGGTAAGTCTTACTTTTCTCTTTGTTTTCTGTCTGTTTATGTCTTTAGCATATGGTATTCTGTTTTATCTAAGCCATGAATTGGTAGCATCAAACAATTACATGCTTATTAGTTCCCCACAGTTATGCCTGGGAAAAATGCTTATGAGCTTATGATAAGGATTATTTCCTGTAAAGAGTTTGGTTAGTTTGCCATTAGAACCTCTTTAACTTGATTTTTTGGAGTTAGTTGACAACTATAGTTGTATTATCACTTGAATTGAACCTTGATGATTTTGGTTTTATTATAGATATGCTCTTTGATTTGTAAATTTTTGTACATGGGCGGCACCCCCTTGGTGCCTACACTCAGTATATTCTCTATTCTTCTATCTCAAAAAAAAAAAAAAAGTATTACTTGAACTGAAATCTATATGGAAGTCTTTATTTACTTGATTTTTGACTTATGTTTTGTGCTTATAACCAACCATTTAGTGCTATTTTCTCAATGCAATGGAAGCTTGATTATTCCACTGTGTTCTTTTTTTCCAATCAACCAATGTTTTTGCCAATTCCTGCTCACAGGATTCTTGTCTGGCTACTTCTAGGCCACAGAGTTGTATCTGGTAGTTAGCGAAATCTCATAACATAGAAACTAACATGAATTCACTCTTTGTAATATTCTGCATTAATTTATAAGAGAAGCAATGCAATTATAGGTGTTCTGTTCTGTCACTTGTTTGTCCTGATGCGAAATATTTCTGCCAGTGGTTATGTCTTGCTATATTAATTGATAGTCATTCCCTTTTTGTTACTTGATTAACGAACAGTGCAGACAATTCATTTGGTTGATTGCTGACGATCATTACTTTGATGCATGTATTTGGTATCATCACTAATATGCTTTACCATTTTTGCTGGTTATTATTATTATTTTTGGAGATTTTTTTTGTACTATAGTATTATCCTGTGGTTAGTGAGAGGTGATGACTTTGGAAACTATTATAAACTGGAGTGATTCACTTTTTTGTTATTGTTCGCTGACAATTTCATTTGGTTGATTGTTGACAATCATTACTTTGATGCATGCAACTGGTATCATCATTAATATGCTTTACCATTGCTGCTGGTTATTACTAATATTTTTGGAGATTGTTTTCCTACTATTGTATTTTCTTGTGGTTGGTGAGAGGTGATTACTTGGGAAGCTATTATAAACTGGAGCAATTCACTTTTTTGTTGTATTCAGGATGCGTTTAGTTGAGATGATGTCATCTATCTGAGAAGTCAATCCATCCATAGGTGTTCTCTTTGTTACACGTGTCCTGATGTGAGACAATTTTGGCCAATGGCTTTGTCATGCAATTCTCACTTGGGACAATTTGGCATCTTCTGTTACCTTGTCGTTACTTGAATAAGTTATCAGGATGGAAAATTCATTTGGTTGATTTTTTCTTTTGCCATGGTGCTTTAAAACCACTTATTACTCTCTTGTAAATGTACTGAAAATTTGATCCTTACTAGGGAAAATTACAGTTTCACTTCCTGCTATTTGGTCTTATTGCAGGTCATATATCTGGGATTTTTTTTTATAATGGTGTTTGGTACTCTATTGTTTGATTTTGCTGAATGGATCATTTGTTTTGGTTCAGGAGATGTTTATAGCCAATAGTAGGCATAGCAAAATGGTTGATCATCAGTAAGGAGATTCTTTCTAGCATTTTGTTACCACTGTTTTCCTCTTGGCTTTGAATTAGTAGTATGATTAGCTTGTACCTCAAACTAGCTTCATTCCATTCCATATTCTGAAGTACTGTATTCTTTAATAAGATTATTGATAATAATCGATGTACTGCTCCGAATTAAGGGATAATGCCGCCACAACATTTTCTTTCCATGCATTTTCTTGGCTTTCTTGGTTGGGGCATGTTATGCCATGTCAATTAACCCTTTAGGTAAGCAATGCAAATCTTGCCCATGGCCTTGACAAAGAAGATAAAGCCTGATGTTTTCCGTTTTTTTTAAATTTTGTACACAATTTCCATGCATTTATTGCCTAATTGGTATTTTTCATGCTTGATTACTTACTTTTTTTAGCTGTTCTACTCAAGTTTCGTGCTACTTGGATTTACATGTTCTATTTTGGTCCTGCAGAGAAGGAGAATCTATGCTTATATGGCTTTCCCAATGAGCAATGGGAAGTCAATTTACCTGCTGAAGAAGTGCCGCCAGAGCTCCCAGAGCCTGCATTGGGTATTAACTTTGCAAGAGATGGGATGCAAGAAAAGGATTGGTTATCTTTAGTTGCTTTTCATAGTGATGCATGGTTGCTATCTGTTGCCTTCTATTTTGGTGCCAGATTTGGATTTGATAAAACTGACAGGTAATTTTAACTGAAACGTGAGTTTTTTCTTTACTCATTATAAATAGTAAGATTTTACCCTTTGCTGGTGTGTTTTATCCAATATAATCTGGCAGGCATCTAGATATTTTCTCCTTCATCTGGCTAAGAGCTTTCTCTATGGTGTTTAGTTCAACTATGATGTTGATGCACCTTTTTTAACCCATTCCCCTGAGTTGTAAGCCTCCATAGTTTGGTCAATGGGCAGCCAGAAAATCTGCTTCCCCCTTAAATCATGTTTGGGTTGCTCTTCAGTTTGTTATAGTTCGATTAAGTTATTGAAACAATTAGTTTTGAATTTATTAAGCTTATTTTGTCTTAATTGCATGTGTACTAAGTATGACTGGTTTGCTGAATGAAATACAGCTGGAATATAATAGCTATTCACTTGGAATGGAATAATGTTACAATAGGATAGTGATTACATTGCAACATTTGATTCATAATTAGTGAAATCGCATTAATAACTCAGTATGATGTTTGTCTCGATTGTATTAATGACTGGAAAAAGTTGTAATAAGTTGTAAATGATATAATAGCCCTATTTACTGAATTTGTTTAAAAATATTTTTATTACATGTATATATTATACAGGTAAATTGATAAATTTTCATATAATTAATTTAGTTAGTAAAATTATATGTATTATATCTTAATTCTTATTTCAGATTATCTTAATTTCATGAAATCATAAACTTCATATAAATTAATCTAAAACCGTCTTAATCATTGAAATTCTTTTGTAATTTTTTCTTAAGATTCAATTTAAAAGAATTTCTCAATTAATTAAAAAGTTTTCAAATATCAAATCATCTTATAACTATAAATTTTCAAATATATTTTAACTTTATAAAAATAAAAAATTGATCTTTTAATTATCCACCTTGGTGAGTAAAAAAACAGTGTTCTTAAAACTAAAATTAGTTAGTTTAGAGATAATCCTGATTCATGACCCTTCAATCATTAAACAAGTTTGGAGCTTTTCCAGTTGTAGTAATTATAATGTAATTCTGATTTAACCAGCCTAACAGTTATAATAGGTTTCTGTCACATAATAACTGTTATATTTTTGGCATATTCCTATCTTATACAGTGAACCAAACATGCAATAAATGAATAGGTGCCCTAGTTCTTGGTAGCTGTTGCTTTTGTAGTTGGAAAATCATGTCTTTTTTTTTTTTTGTCTTTTGTTTCATTAGTCCAACGGTCTGCTTGTATACCATTTTCTTGACATGAGCATGGTACGAGTGAGTAACTAAGGTCTTTCTTCTCTTTTCCCCTTTTATATTATTTTCAGTCATATACTTTAAGCATTGCAGGTCACAATGTCATTGAACTTTGTTTAAATGTTGGAATCTCATGTCTGTAGAGGAACATACTTACAGTTCTGGAGGAAAGGAAAATTACCTTCTGTGACAATGGGATATTACTGATTTTTTTTTTTTTTTTTTTTTTCTGAATTAGATATTCTATTTTTTAATGGAAGGCTGTTTGGATGCAGGAAGAGGCTTTTTAACATGATTAATGAGCTTCCAACAATATTTGAAGTTGTAACTGGTGCTGCAAAAAAGCAAGTAAAAGAAAAGTCATCAGTGTCAAATCATAGCAGCAACAAATCTAAGTCAAACTCCAAAATGGTAAAAAGAGAACTCTCTGCAGATTTCCTGTTCCTTTTGTTTAAAGTTAAGATTGTACTGTCAAATTTTCATGGCAGTTTTTCCCGTTAATTTAGAAACCCATATTGTATACTAAACTTGGTAATCATGGAGGTGTTGATATTAAACTTCTGATGGTGGCTGTTCCCCTGATGTGGATCCTATATTCTCGTTGTAGCTTTATCAGTCATGAGAAGTTTCTTCTTTTTGCAACAGAAACTGCTCATGACTGTTCTTGAACCTGAGCCTTCCCCTGGCAGACCACTGGGCTAGTTCCCAGGTCTTGTCATGAAAAGTTACTTGACATGATGTTCTAGTGTCTGAAGTTTAATTTATTGAGGAACTTGTGTTCACCATTAATGAGCATGTGCTTTGTTTCTTGCCTGATATTCTATTGGTAATACTAGGGCTATTATATGATTTCTCTGATTAATTGGCTATTTGCATGTTGATGTTGTCGTGACAAAAGCAGCGGGTATCCGAACCCCAGGGGAAGTTTTCAAAAGCATCACAAGCAAAGGATGAAGATGAGGGCATGGATGAGGAAGAAGAGGATGAGCACGGAGAGACCTTGTGTGGGGCCTGTGGTGAGAACTATGCATCAGATGAATTCTGGATTTGCTGTGACATATGTGAAAAGTGGTTCCATGGGAAGTGTGTGAAAATCACCCCAGCTAGGGCTGAGCATATCAAGCAATATAAGTGCCCGTCATGCAGCAACAAGAGAGTGCGCCCTTGACAAACATGTTGGTGAAATTGGCTCCCAGCTTAACTTTCTTCTTGGTGGAATTGACTAACTGCGCCCTGTTTGATCAGCTTTTTTTCTTTTTTACCTTTTCTGCTAGCAGTGCAGGATGTGAATGGTACTTTTTTTTAGGTATTCTCAGTATCAGAATGTAATGCTATTTATTCATAGTTTGATCAGGATGTTTCCATATGAATGTCTAGTTATCCTCTTTCTAGTAGGTGGATTCTTTGCTCTGGTGAAGTTCCTCGGTGTCTGCCATACTGAGTGTTCATATATACTCTCACCACTGGCTATTGAGTGAGGGGCCATTAGTTTCATATGTTGAAATGAGGAATTCCCATAAATGGCTTTTGAAATCCTGAAGTTGGTGACCTGTATTTGTGATGCTTATTGTTTTGACTTGCTTCCTGGGTTGGGTTTCTGATTTTCTAGTTTGGTGGTGATTTTGATTGAGACTTCGGAATCATGTGGAAGCGAGACTACTGATGGGTTCCATGTGCTTCAAGCAAGAATTTTTGTTATACCATTTGACAGCTCCTGAAACCAAACGAACGGCTCATTCGTATCATGTATGTACACGTGTATATATATGCATGCATGGGAAAGGGCAGTTATGGTAAACCATTTTATGTTAGGATTTCATAAATTCCAGTACGATTGTTAGGTTTTAAATTTACGCTATAAACCCTCCAGTATTTTCACTTTAAATCAGATTTCCAAAAAAGATTATTTTGAAGTAACAGGAAAATGTGCAATATCAAGTGGGAGAAAATGCTGCCACTTGGGATATTGTGGGGGGACTACGTCACGCAAGAGATGCTTTCTTTTTTTTTTTTTTTTTTTTTTTTTAATTTTTTCTTTTATTTAGTTATTAAAATTTGAAAATTTATTTAGGATAGCAATATGAAAAGATATGTACGGAAAAAGACACTCAAAATGGGCAACCCGTCAAATTATTTGTCTCTACTCGATACCCATCCTACATTTTCTCACTAATTTCAAAATATTCCAAAAAAAAAATTACACTATTAATATTTTTAAATATTCTTCATAATTATAACTTGATTACATTTGACAAGATAATGGGTTGAAGATATAATATATATATATATATATATATATATACACTGTATGAGACGAGGATGGAAGACAAATTTGAACAGTGGGTTGGGACCTGTAGTGGAGTCCCTCACGCCCAAAGCTCTTAGTTTCATTCTTACTAAATATGCTTCAAACATTCTAATTATCACACAACAATCAAATAAATATATTTTATTATGTAGACAACATAACATCTAGAAAAAAAACCCAAATATACTCTCAATTTCTTTTTTTTTTTTTTT